GGAGAGAGTATTACTGAATAGAATCAACGATCATCTTGAGGATAACAACATTATCCCAAACCAGCAGTGCGGCTTCCGGACTGGAAGATCAACATCTCACCAGCTCATCAAAGTGATCAAATCAGCAAAAGAAAACTTAAACAACAAAAAGTCAACAGGCATGATCTTCCTGGATGTAGAAAAAGCATTTGACAGAGTCTGGCATAACGGACTCTTGTACAAAATGCTCAAACTGAGATTTCCACTGCCACTTATAAAAACTGTAAGATCTTTCCTCATTGAAAGATCTTTCGCAGTTTTTATTAAAGGTCAGTTCTCAGAAATCAAGGTAATCAAATTCGGAGTGCCACAAGGAGCAGTGCTTTCACCAACTCTCTACAACATCTTCACGTATGATGTTGTAAGAGAGACAACCAACAACATCGGTCTTTTCGCAGATGATACAGCACTGTATCATTCTGCAGAGAACTCGGCCGATATTGTGACACATCTACAGCACACAGGAAGAAAAGTTCAACAATACATGAACAAATGGAAGATCAACCTCAACAAACAGAAGACTCAAGCCTTATTCATCACAAACAGGCACTCCAGGCAACTACCAGGAAATAACATCAAATTTCTCAACGAAAACATCAAATGGGAAACAGAAGCTAAATATCTGGGAATGGTGATCGACAAGAGAGTGACATTAAAGCCGCATGTGGAGTATGTGACCAATAGGGCTCACACCGCATTAAGACAGCTTTATCCGCTCATCAGCAGGAACTCACAACTCGACGTACGAAACAAACTTCTCATCTACAAGCTAGCCATCAGACCAATATTCACATATGGTTGTCCAGCGTTTGGAAGCATGGCAAAAACCCATCTTCAAAAACTTCAAGTACTGCAAAACAAATTCTTGAGAATTGTTCTCAATAAAACAAGATATGAAAGGATCACCGATCTTCATACAGAAGCGAAAATACCGTCCATCGAAGACTACGTCGGAAAGTTGCAAGCGAACTTCAACAGTCGTCTTGTATCTCAAAACACCGAATAAATCAAATGAAATACAAAAGAAAGTAAAATCCGTAAATGAAATCAAAATTAAGAGACAAAAGGCAAATTGAGTGGGACAAGTCACTAAGAAGACTGAGTGGTATGGATCTCAACTGAGCAGTTTGAAAACACTTCTTAGAGGACATTTGTTCGATTCCTATCAAATTAGTTGCAAAGGTTCAAGAGCTAAACTTGACGTGAAACCCAGCAAACTTAAGACCAAATCTCCAGTCAGTCACAAGACAATCCACATCCCACAACAATGCTCAAAAAGCAAGCTAAACCATCTCTCAGACTACAAGAAAATTAAACAAGATTTGAAGGATGATTACAAGGCAATTGAAAATACAAAATGTGTAATTGCTACTGCCTTTCAATTATCGATAGATTTATGAAAGCATCTCACCCAAAAAGGAGGCTTGATATACTTGAAAATAAATTATAAGCAAGTATTTGAATAGACATTAAGTGTGAAAATATGGTTGATTGAAATTTATTCGTCTCAAAAGGAAGACGCACAAAGGTAAATCTTGTAATCAAGACGATGCTTCAAGGACACATAATGAAAGAAGATAAACAAAAATAGCAACCCCTTTTTTATGTCTAGCAGAAATTATTTCCATCTCCACCGCATACTCGAGAACATAACAATAATATAATTTATATCAATTTTCCTTTTAACAGCCAGACATCCTCCTTTCCATTCACTCACTCGTGTGCCTTAGCATTTCTTTTCTTTCTCCCACACATAAAGTACATTGGCAGCAAAAGGCATTGAATGAATGAACATAAAAATTCTTAGGCAACAGAAAATGTGTGTCTGTGTATGTAAAAACATTTGAGGCACAATTGCGAGTAAAGCAAAGCATCAGCATCAATGAAAGACGAGAAAATTTACGTTTTTGTGATTTTTCTTACTCCGTCTTACGAGTTCTGTGTATGCCTATGGATGATGGTTTTGTTTGCTTCTCTCCGTACTCGCATTCACAATGAAAATGTGTCGAGTTTATTTTCCTTTCCTTCTTCCTTTCTTCTTTTTTACTGGTTTTTAGACATTATGCCCCAAATAAGTGTATATTTATATACATTCGAACGAAGTAAGTTAAACTTTATCCTTTCCATTCTTATTTTGCCTATTTTCCTCTCTCTTGGTGTGATTCCTTTCGTCTTGTGTGCCTTCATCATTTCAAGTATACCGCAATTCAGTTAGTAACAACAAAAAAATAAGTAGAAATAGACAGAGATGGAGGATACGTCTAGTCATTGTCTGATTAAATTTTTATTTATTTCGGATCTTCTGGCATTTCCATGCTTGCTTTTTGCCTCACTTGATTCCTCTGTCTCTGTTTATCCACACTCGTTATTCTTCCGTTTATGTATGCTTGCATATCTGCCTCTTATTCAATTCCATTCAAAAGAGAATAAGCTTTGTCGGCAAAAGCAGGCAGCACTTGCTCTAACTCAACTCATTCAAGTGGTTTTTCCTCAAGTGGCTTATTTTTTATGGCATGGAGAGGTTTTCTTTTCTTTTTGTTGTTCAGCTCTTGATTCTCCTGCCAATTGGCTTTTATGCATCCCCTTTTTTTATATTCACATGTTTAGTGTACAGCATAAAAAGAAGAACTCGAAACAGAAGAAAGTGAAAAAGGGAAATTTATATTTTTTTTTCCTGCTGAACAGAGGCAATTTTCTTTTTGGTTCATACTTAAACTTTCATTGACCCTTTCGATCCCTTTATTGGGTTAAATGTCATTTATTCCTTTTGCTATTTTGTGAAATGTAACCTTAACATCTTAATACTGTTAAATTGGTTATGCAAATTCTGTGACCTTCATTTGGGGTGCATCCAAACCCTCCTTATATAAAGTGTGAGTGAAAATTGAATATTTTTTTTTATAAATTTTCGTTGGATGTCCATTAAGAGCATTAAGTATGATTAATGAGGAGGTTGCTTAATAGAATCGAATGGAAAATTTTCTACCATCAATAAAATTAAATTGAATTAAGTAGAAAATGAGGAGGAAGAATGCTTTTTTGGGGATGGTTTTAAATGACGTCTAGCAAATGCTAAAACTGAGGATATTGGCTGATTGACTGCTTTTTGAGAAGAATGATGGATTAGGATTTCTTGTTATATTACCCGTCTTCCTACGACAACTGGTTACGTCACTGATCTTACTAAAATATTATAGACGCAAATACAGAGGAGCTTGGCTTAGAGCAGTGGTTCTCAATCTATGTGCCGCGGAAAAATTAACTGCCTCAAGACTATTCAGGCGTGACGTGAAAATTTTTACGTAAAAAAAATGTGCCGTAGACCAAAAAAGTTTGAGAAACACTGGCTTAGAGGATGTGATGGGAAGCTGGATCATTCTATATATTGAAACTTTATCAGAAAAATTAAATCAATTAATAAACATTAGGCAAGCTTGCCATCATTTACAAACGACCCCTTTAAGAAGTTTTCCAAAAGGTATAGTAAAGGTTCATTTAACATGGCTTGGAATAATTGATTGTTTGCGGTTCATAAAAAGTTAATTAATATGAAGGTTTTCGGGTTATTGTTGCATGAAAATTTTTAATTAGACAGCTTTAAGGATCTTTTGAGAATTAAGAGAATTTTTTTGTATTCCTTCCAGTTCCGGCTTAAAGGCTCTCGCCGGACACACAAAAAAAAGTGCTCGTAACTTGCAAATAATTTACATAATATGAATATAAATTTAATTTCTTGGTAACAAGGCCGATAAAAACTTCAACATAATTTATTGACGTGTCTTGCTTGGTGCTTTAATTATCTGAATTTATAGTAATTTTTATGTGTTTATGTACACACAAAAAAAAGTATATAAAGGAAGACGAAAATTAACGAGGGCGTTGAAAATTGCTTCATAATTCAACTTTCCAGCCAGCATTTCTTCACGACTCAGTTTTTTTAATCTCATTTTATTCGTCAGCTCTCATTTCTCAGCCACATGTACTTTTTTGCCAATTTTTTTTTCTTTTAATTTACATTATGAAGTAAATTACGAATAAAGAATGAGGCGAAAATTTTTTCATCATTTCATATATTTTTTTTCTGGCAAGCAATAACTTGTGATATAGCTATATAGCTACAGCATCATCACACTGTGCAAAAAGGGAAGGAAAAAAAAGTTATGTATGTAAGAAAAGAACATGAAATTACGTGACAAAAATTTAATTTTCTTCAGTGCTGCTCTCCTTTCAGGAGAGAAAATTTATATTAGCGAAGTGTGTTTTTTGCCTGATAATATGAAAAAATTATTTCTTTTCAGTAGTTGAATAATAAAACATTTTCTTCAGCAGCAACAAACCCCCCTTGTTCGTTATGCTTCTCTCGTTCTCGCCCTTCTACTTCAACTTAGATGGACATTAAAGACTTAAAGGCTTCTTCTCTTAAAGTTCGCTCACAGCTCAAAGTTACATTATGCATTTTAGTAAGTTTTCCCTTGGAGCGACATTTGGGTATGAATTTTTGATGGTTGGTTAAGAATTTAGTACAAATGTTTAACGTTTTCAAGAATAATGCATTGAATGTGGGAGCAACGTTGCAGCTACGTGGCAAATACGTAACTACCACTTTGTAGCAACATGGCAATCAAGTTGCATCAATTTCGCAACTAAAGAGTAACAATGTGGTATTAATAATGCAACCACGTGTCAACCACGTGGCACCCACGTGGAGTCAACGTTGCAACCACGTGTCAACAACACGATAGTCACTTTCAACGTGTTTTAATTAAAAATCTTATTTAAAAAATTCTGGAGACATATCCAACAACAAGCTACAATGATATCCCTAAAGAAATCCGAAATTCCGACAAAATTTACATCAGAGGATCCTCCTATATAGTTTCTTTTCTCGTGTTTCAAAAATATTTTTTTCTTCTATATATCATAAACATAAAGTGTCAAAGAAAGATTTCTCTTTTACTTACCCCGCCACCTCTTCCTTTTCCACGACCTCGACGGGATTCACCTCGCAAAATTGTGCCATCAGCGGAATAAATTATCTGGAAGAAAGAAAAATATGATGATAAAAAGAAATGTATTAAAAAAATTTCATGTAATACACAAAAGAGAAGTGACGAAAAAGTTTGGTTTAAAGCATAAGAAAATGTCTTCTTTTTTCGAGGGATAAAGCTTTATTTAGAAAAATGACGCATTATAGGATAAACTTTCATCATTGAGGAATAAAAAAATAATACGCAATAATAGGAGGAGAACCGGATGAAGGTGAGGTTTAAAAATGGCATAGAAACTTTTCTCGCATTATTTAAAGTCGTGTGCCAGTTTATTTTAATTTATACTTAATGGAATTCTTCAGCTTTTAATTTATTCCATTAATTTTTATTCCTTATTTAAATTTATTTTGTTTGAATTGTGCTTTAAAAATTCAATATGGATAGATTTTGAATAATTTGTGCTTTCCATCTGTTCATAGATGGCGTGAATAGCACATCATTATTCTTCAAAACCTTAAAAATGTTTTCATTTGAAACATTTGAGAGGTTTTCAAGATTTTAAATTATATTTTACCGTTAAAGCAAGCTTTGATTTTTTACTTCTCAAGTTTTTATCAAAATATCACAAAAATGTTCCGTAACACATTTCAAAAAGGATTCCTATCAATTTTCTACAGCATTGGAAGTAAGCCATTATTAATATGGGATACAAAAGTATCGCATGGACACATCAAGAGAATAACTGACGAAGATTCAAAATCATTAGCTTTAGACATTCGGGGAGTAAATGTGATAAATTGCTACATTACAGCACCAGCCGATCCATGCACATGTCTAGGAATCAAGCTTCCATTTATGACAATCATTGTGAAAAATTTAAAGAAGCAATTTTCATTTGAGGTACAAATTTTGGATGATCGAAATCAGCTCCGACGCTTTAGATTCTCAAATTATCAGAAAAAGACAAGAGTCTCAAATTTTACAACAAACATGCCGCTAGCACTGAATTGTGGGTGGAATCAAATACAAATGAATCTTGTCGATTTCACACGACGTGCTTATGGAACAAATTATATGGAAACAGTTCGCATAACCATTCATGCCAATTGCCGTTTAAGGAATATTTATTTCTCAGATCGTTTGTACACTGATGATGAGAAGCCTGTTGCCTTTAAATTTATGGGCAAAGACGACGAGAAGAAAAAGGAGAAAGAGGCATTGAAGAAAATTCTCAAGGAACCAAAGAAATCTGTTGTTGCAATTGAAACTGTTCGACCTTCCTCACCAGTTTCTCATATCACAGAAACGGCAGTCGTTAATGAAGCATAAATTGTATTTTTGGTTTTGGATATAATAAAAGAAGGAAATAAATCTCTTCCACATTTTTGAATTCTTTGATGGAATTTTTAATTGTTTGACATTTTCTCATGAAATTCCCGTGCACCCTTGGATAAGTTGTTCCTTGTTTTGATAATACAGGAAATTCCCTTGTAAGCACTTGCCTGCTCTAGAAGTTCCTATATCACATAGAAATTAGCCCCCTCGACAATTTAACTGAGTGTGTTTTTTGTGTAAAAAATTTTTACAAGAAGAAGAAGGAACCAGCAAGGCATGAAGGGGAAGGGTTGACACCAATATATACGATATTTATATGAAATGAATCAATATCGAAGGGGTACGTCACGTTATAGACTCAATATTAGGGTAATTTCTCCCTTCCTTGATCACTTGCTGTTTTTTTTTCGCAAAAATATAAAGTACATTTGTGTAGGGGAGACTTACCACAGTTGTACTTTGCATCCCCTTGCTTATAATCATAAAACACAGTGCAGTATCATCCCTCAAAAATAAAGTCGTATATGGAAATGTATGGCGACGTGGTCAAAACTTTAAGTGCAAGAGGGGTAGGCATAGTATTCTAATTGCTTTGACAATGACACACATACAGTCGGGACCCTTCTCTCTATTCTTATTATTAATGTTCCCCGAGTAAATTAGAAGTCATGTCGCTGCTTTATTTTTTTTTTCAAGGCGTCAGGTGAATATATGTGGTGTGAATTTATTATTTTGGGGAATCTACAGTCTTCAATGTCAGTCAGTGAGACGATTAGGGGAAGGGGAAGATGATAATGTTGATGATGAGGGAATGTCTGAATGTAATTAAAAAAAGGGGTTCCACACCCCATCAGCATTATAAAAACAGTAATAATCAGGTGAATTTTTCCATCACCAGTCACAAGTTCAAGGACGTTTAAGGAAAAATCCCCTAAAGAGTATTCATGTTATGTGTGCCAAGGCAAAGGGAACGACTCACGTTTTAACAATTTTTATTGCACTTGAGACGAAGCTTAAAGCTTTTATATATATTTTCGGGTAATGTAGACTATGTGTACGGCATAGGAGGAAGAAAAGCCATAAAAAAGACATAAAAACGACCAAGAAAATTATTCGACAACATTTTTATCGCATTTGCTGTATTGTATACAACCCAAACAACCTTTTCTCGAGTGCTATAAAATAAAACTTCCTCCTCATGTATTTTTGGGTCACAGACATGGCATTTCGCAATAGAATGTTATTGTTAACCTTTTTTTGTTTGCCTCCATCTCATGTCTATTTAGTCCTGCCCTTTTTTGTTATCACTTGACTGACTGATAAAAAGTCAAAAGAAATCCCCAGAAACGATTATTCATTCAATAAAATCCGTCTACTGTTGTCATGTGCTTGTTATGTTGTCTGCGATGCCAAACAACAAAACAATCCCAATCCATCCATCCCTTCACACTGTTTATATTATTCTCATAATGTTATGTTATCAGTGGAGTCACTGCCTCATTCCATCACAAAGACGAAGTTGAAATCAAGAAGGAATGCGATGAGAATTTTTCTGTGCCTTTTGCTGCCAATGTTGTGGCGTGCGGTAATTTTTTACACATAAAGCTTTCCTTCAGTCTTTATGCCATGTGCTTTTTTTTCGTCTGAGACGCTCATTTTTCTTTCCTTTATTTTTTATGGGGAGGCTTTTGTTGATGGATTTTTATCAGCGATCCCTAACGGCATAAAGATTTTCTTCTCCTTCCTTTCTTCCATTCTTTATTTCCTCCTTTTTATTTTATTTAGCATTTACGAGACGATACGCTAAATACATAAATTTTTCGTTCATGAATCATGTGAACGTCTTGTGTCTTATATAGCCAACAAACCCGGCTTCGTATTCTTTTATTTTATTTTTTGCCGCAAAGCACATATAGAAGACATAAATCGTAATAAAATTATGTTCTTTTTACAACCCCATCCACCACTGTCTTCTTCATCTACAGACACTCTTTTCTCTTTCTTTATCATTCACAATTTACGGCATTTTTTTTTATTGTTGTGCGGATATGAATCAGTGAATTATTTGTTGGTAAGGGCTTATGTTGTTGTCTCTTCATCTCCTACTTACAATTTTCTTTTGCTTTTGAACGAGTAATTTTCAAGGGAAATGGAATCATCTTAAGTATTTTCCACTTGACGGGATATTTGTGGATGTGGATATGCTTCTCATGTGCTGATATGAATTTTGGTTTGTTATATTGGAAGATATATGACCAATCAATGATAACAAGACAGGCTTTAGAGATCAATGAACTCAAATGTGACATAAAAAGTTCCCGTACCTTTAACTTCACTATTCCATATTTTGTAAACAAAACTAACCTTCCCCAAAACAAAAGGCATACATGCACAGCTCACAGTGGAGAGAAAGAGAGAAAATTTCCATTTTTATCCCCCAAAGAACAATAATCATATACATGTTTGCATATTCGGTAATGTATACAAGCGTTCCACATGTTGGCGTGTTTTTTTGGACATACACACATATAGTCTCGAGTATGGCAGTAATTGGATTTTATCTTTATATTTGTAGACGAAATAAAAGTTTCAGACATTTCAATATAGATATTATCAGCCCCCAAAAAAAGCTATGGATCCAATTTCGAGACAATTTTCGTCTTCATGGCACGAGGAAAATAATGAATTTTCCATTAAGTAATGATGATGGAGAAGACGCGTCTGAAGACAAAAAAAAACAGAGACGAGGCTTGAAAGGATATTCACCCCGTTTACGATGAATGAAAAGCAGACGAAGAATTATTTTTTTTGGGGAGCCACACGCACATACCCTCGAGCAAAGTTGATGAGAAACCTATTACTCATTCTATGTATACATCATTTTCATGTTGTTTCTACTGCTGATTAATTTGCGTGTACTTTATTTCCTTCTTTTCTCTCTCTCGGTGGAGTACGAAAGAATTTCCACCCCAGACGTACACAAAAAAAGTAAGCCGAAGAATGTGTTTTAAGGCACACACAAAATATATATTTTCCCCAATGTTTTGTATTATTTTGGAGCTCGTCGGTTCTGTCATCACCTCTTAATTCATAATAAATAAAATATTGGGGTAGGCAAAGGCTCACATTTTTGACTTGAAGTGAAAGTATGTATGGCTTTTGTAGGAAACAGCAAATGAAAGGGCGAGGAAGTAAACGAGAAATTAGCAGAAACGGGAAAATATATTTGTATGGAAGCTTTATTCGCTTCTGTTGCTCCCTCCAAAATTTTACAAATTTCCCATTCAGCTTTTTCCTGCTTTTGATGTTTTTATTATTTCTTTTGCCTCTTCCGTTCTCCCCAACATGTTTATGAATGACTTAATACTCTTAAATGAATGGGGAATAATTAGCGGATTTGAATGTAAAACTGCTACATATTGAAGGATGTTGAACCTATCTCGATGCACATTCACTGTATTGAATTGAAGCACATCCACTTATGCTAGATCCATTAATATCTTTCCCCATTTAATCGTTCAAGTAGGTTTGGATGATATTAATTTTAATTAGGCAAGCACATTGAACTCTTGTGAACTTTAAGAGGCAATTCATGCTCCTTTATAGAAAGATTGTTGAATGATAAGATGAAATTTGCATAATTCTCATAATTTCCCTTTTTAGCTCTTTAATGAGAATGTTTTTAGGGGTGGGAAGGAGATTAAATGGAACGAGTGTAAATTACAATTCAGAATCAGAAGCAAAATTTCTGTCGAATTGAGTTTAATGGAACAAAACTTTGTTGTGCTTCTATAATAAAATTGTTTAAACATCATAACTGGGTATTTAAGGCTATTGTTTGTTCGACTTTTATGGTGCAAACTTGCGTAACAGCAATGAATTTTCGTCAATTGATTTATTACTGAGTGGAAATACTAAGAGTTGCAATTTTTGAGGATTATAGTATTTTGTTGACCAATGAATTTATTTAAGATTATTCTGAACATCTGGACTATTATTTACTGGACTGTTCCTTGATTATCAGATTTTTGTGAATATCCCAAATGTTTAGCCTCAATTGAATTCAAATTTAGGTTCATTTAAGACTTTAGTCTTGTCGGAATGATGAAAACAATATGGAACTACTAGTAAGTATAAATTATACTCATTACTGAGCACAAATACCCAAGAAAGATGTTTATCGACTAAAATCTAGTCTTTAGGAGACCAACAACTTTAAAGGGGAAATCAACATGTTGATGCTGTTGAAAATACAATTTAAATATTAAATGATCGTTAATTTATTCTTAACAATTCTTAATTTCATTTCATAATCCAAAAAGTATATTAATGAACTTCAAAAGTAACCAAAAATGTTCAAAAAGGGAGAGAAATTTCACCATAAATTATGCGTGAACATTGACAGATGTTGGAAATGATTCTAGCCTCTTAGAAATTTGTGTGAGAAAAAATGCAAGCAGAGAATTTTGGGGATTTAAGATCTTTTCATTTTTATACAGCATCGAAAACATTAATTTGATTTGCGTTCCTTTAATCGCACATTTATTTTATTTCAGTCATAAAATGCTTCTTTTGCCTAATGAATTGACTCTGTGATGTGCCTACGGCTGTTCTATTTGAAAACTAAGAAGTTTTAAACACCACTGAGTTCTATAATAAAAAAGAACTTGAAAATCGTAAACCATTTGAAATTAAATCATGATGATGATGACAGGAACATAAAAAGAATCGAGTCCGTCTTGTTAAAATTTAGTGTCGACAGCAAAAAGACGAAGGTTCGCAAAATTTTTATTCTATTAATTTTTTCTTTCTCATCGTCCTTTTCAGGGAGAGCTGTAATAAGTTGTAGCAGTCAAGCAGGCAATAAAAACCCATAAAAAAAATTGAACACAAAAGAAAAAATGTTTTTAATTAAAAATCCGCCATTTTTATATGCCGATGCTATGTGATATATATTAATTGTACAGTTACCAACTAAATATAATGTAAAGAGCAGCAACGAGTGGCAGTAGTGGTAGTGGTGGTGTGAG